CAGGAGCAATGAACGTGTGTTCTTTTCTAGCGATTGGTGGAGGGGATGGCAGGCGGGCGGGCATCACTATTAAAACTATGTCAAATTTTAAGTAAAATGTCATTCAAGTGGGTGCTCGCAATTAGTCTTTTGAGGAATCGCCGGGCGGTTTTTGTGTGCCAGAAACAGGGAGATTGCTGACAGCTTTTATTTTTCTCCCCCTGATCAGCCACGTGAGACCCAAACCAGCCCATGTTCTTTAAATCCTCTCATAATTTATGTTGAGCCAGAAACGATTAGGAAAATTCAAAGTGAAACGACTTTGAGAACATATCCACATCCAATCTCAAAAGCTGTTTGTTCATATAGGAAATATAATTTATTTATAATTTACTTATTTTTGTGGGTTTTTTGGAAAATGGCCGCTGCCAGCCACAAATTATTATAGGACAAGACCCAGGACCCCAGCCTGCCTTATCACCACGCAATCAACAATGAAAACGGATACTCGCAAATGCATCATTTCGTGGCAGGACTGGACCCTCCCTACATGCGGCATAGTCAACACACATTTCAGGGAAAGGCAACCATACAAAAAATGAATGATACAATAGTAGTAACAATAAGGCACCGGCTGGCCGCGGCCACACTTGACCTCCGGGCAAAGACAGAACGAGAGGGAGAGGAGAAGGAATAAGTACGAAGGGATCATTTCAAATGCAGTTGCCGGTAAGCGTAGTGGAACGAGCACCACACGCTACCTGACCAGACACACACAGACACAAACACAAACATACACTCAATGTCCATGTGTTTGTGGTGCACTGAAGCAGCAGAAGTTACTGGCCTATCCCATGGGGGTACGGGTACCGGGACCCGGGGCCAGTGAAAACAAATATCTAAACGAGAAAACCCAACTCGTAATAATTTCAACGGCCGACTGAGACGCTTGTAATCCACCCTTTGCTAGCCGCTGCAGACGCCTCAGCTACACACACACACACACACAGGCAGACAGCATGCTCTCATGCATACATGAATGGGTGTGTGTGGCGTACAAGTTGATGTGTAAAGTGGCATTAATTAGCAGAGAGAAGACTCAAAAATTAATGTGTAAGAGGGCAAAAGTGCAATTGAAATGGTCAAAGGACGTAAAAGTGGCCAGGACATGACCCTACAGTCGCAAGGAAATTTGAGTAGGCCAAAAAAAGAGGAGACGCGCGAAACCCAATTGGGCAGCAGGTGGCTGTCGCACTCTGGCGTATTCCCATTTTTCCACAGATACCAACTGCAGTGCAAGCTTTTTCGCATCTTTCAAGGATTTGGATTATGAGGAATTACAGCATCAGAACAAACAGTAGTCAGAAACTTAACTGCGTCTCTTCAAGACGTTTCTTCAATTTTTCGGTCAACGCCCATGTGCCAACACCAACAACTCAGCCAACAATAACAACGACAGGCATTCGACAAACCAAACAAAATTTTGGGCGGGTCACCATTAGAATTTTTTCAAATACACACCGATAACTCACCTCTATACAGAAATCAATTGTTTCACGATAGGCGGCAAACCAAACTCATTATATTTAACAACAAAAGTGAACTCAAAACGAACTTTTAACTTAAATTTGAACTAAATTAAACAAAACCACAGAACGAAACAGATCCACACCCCGCAATGACAAACCGTTCCAGTGTGGCCGTCGATGTGCTCATTCAATATACCGTCTGACGCTCTGAAACATACCGTAACATACCAAGAAAATTGATTAAATATACCATTATATACCGATATGCCATAAATTATGAACGAACTTAGCCCACTTAAACGCCTCTATTTAAACAGGTTAACACCCGTTAAAGTGTTTCAAGTTTCATTATATTGGTGTGCATATTTAAATACCGACAGGTCGACTATGGGCTAATCGTTTATTGTCCGTGATCGGATTTATATTGCTTGATTTTGATATTAGGTTTAATTTTACTAGCTAGCTAGGACTGTCAGCACTCAACACACGGTTGGCTAATTTTGAGGACTCCCTTTTATTTGATTGTTTATAAAATAAGTTTTAAACCAGAAAGGTCAAAACAAAATGGAAGCACGAAAAGTTAGTGTGTTCGGAATGTTACGTCATTTGAACACTTGTGGCTTGTAGAGCGGTGGTATTGACATTTTATCCCATCCTCGATTTTAGCATTCGGCTTATTATTATCAGCAAGCCAAGTTTAAATTATTCATAAATAAGGTTTAATCAAATAAAGGAATGGTCTTCAGATGGCAAAATTATTGTTTTACATGGTAACTACACGCTAACTACACATTTGATACAAATTACCTACAGATTCATGTAAATTTCGACAGAGACATTTGTTGACAAATTAAGCTTGACTATAGACTTCGTCTACAGACTAGACTAGACTAGATATCCTGCGGTTCGGTTAAAAGTTCTAATGTTCGAAGAATCGAGCAATGAATCTTATGGCAGCCATTGCACTGTGAGCGAAAATGCGGTTTTTTTTTTGCTTTAACCTTCGAGGTAAAGCTACAAATTCGGCATATTGGCTGTTCATATTATAATATTATAATTTAACATTTGAAAATGCTCATCTAGCCGTATTTCCATCATTGGAATTTCCAGACCCATTCTGGCTTGGTTTGTTTATATGCAATCCCATTTCCTTCCAAAGTTTGGCTTCTATTTCTTTTTTATACCCGTACTCAAAAAAGAGTTAAGGGGTAAATTAGATTTGTGGTAAAAGTGGATGTGTGCAACGCAGAGAAGGAAACGTTTCCGACCCCATAAAGTATATATATTCTTGATCAGCATCAGCCGAGTCTATATAGCCATGTCCGTCTGTCCGTCCGTCCGTCTGTCCGTCCGTCCGTCTTGATGAGCGCCTGGATCTCAGAGACTATAAGAGCTAGAGAAACCAAATTTGGTTTCCAGACTCATGTGATATCACACTGCTACAAGTGTATTTCAAAATTTCGCCCCGCCCCCTTCCGCCCACACAAAGGACGAAAATCTGTGGCAGGCACATTTTAAAAGATACGATAAAACTAAAAACGCATTATTGTAGAGAATGACCATATCTACCAGATTGCCGAATCTGAATTAGTTCGGATCATAATTATAGCCAGAATGAAGAAATTAATTTTCAGTCGCTTCCCCTGCCCCCTCCTTACAACGACAACGCAACTCATTTTCCTTCTCGCTCGCACACTTGCCGCGTTCAGTGCGCGAACAACCCCTAGCGGAGGAGATGTAGAATATAAATGGTACATCTATAATCTACATGTTAGATGTAAAATATACACTGTATATGTAGATAACAGATGTAGTAAAAAAATGTGAAATGTAAACGTTTTTTTTAATTCTAAAATTCTAAAAAATCATGCTCAAAAATGTATATACTGACTGAGTACGGGTATAAGTAGAGTCGCGTCCCCAGAAGCGACTCACACGTTCCTTCTCGTTTTGAAAAAAAATTATGCTTGCTTAAAGTTCCGTTACGGACGTTACAAAAAATGGAAGTCGACTTTGAGGCTGCATGCCTTTGCACATTTTTATTTTCGAATTTTGCATAATAAACAAAAAAGAACACATACAAAATATTAAGTGGAATATAAGACCATATTAATCCAGCAAAGAAAATAAGTATAAGTAGTCCCGTTGAAAAGAAATCGTAATTTTTGTCTGTTACGGACGTTACGTTACACTTTTTCCATCAAGTCAAATTTTGTAAATAATTTTGTAATTCATGTATTTAAACATCTTTTTAACCTTGTTATTATTTAATTATTACCTACAAAAAATTTTACAATATTTCATTACTCTTATATGTATTAGTTTGTATATATTTTATTTTAACACGGTTTTTATACTTTATAGATCCAGCTGTTCGAGCTACTTTTAAATAATTGTCATTGGAATAGGCAGAAAAATAATGATATGAATTAATAGAGGGAATACTTTTTTAATTTATCCATGTTTTTGATATTTTGTCAGATGTTGTTTTGACATAATTTTTGCCTACGTAAATAAGGGAAACGCCACTAATATTTGTTTTTGCTAATTTGTGAAAATCTAGAGCATTTTTTAAAATAAGACTTACTAGTTGCCAAACTTTTCGCTTAACAACTGCGCCAAACACCATCCACCGCTCCTTTTCCATGAGAAGTAGCGAAAAAATTCCATTCAAAACAACTCACATCAAATTCTCTTACGAATTGTGGAATGTTTCTCAAAATTGACTTATTTTTAAATTGACTTCCACAGCCATCAGAAAATATATTTTCTCTATGGAAAGAATGCAGCTATCTGATTTTTTAAATTAATTAAATTAAACAGAATTTTTATTGTGCGACAGCTCATCACTTACAATGCTATAGGACTTGGCGCAATTGTTTAACGTTAAGCTCATACATTAATTCTCTTACCGATCCTTCGGTTTTGCATAGTACCATCCTGTTGTTTACCATTCTCCAAAGCTTCCAAGTGGCAGTTTTGTCCATGCGATTAACATACAGCAATGGTACAATATCTACAATGTTAATCACACATTTTTCACACTCGCTGGTCATACAGATTTCACTGTCAACATTACAGCAAGTTTCCTTTAAAAACTTATCAAAGTTTGATGGAAACGTAGGAACTATCTTAACAATGTTTTCGTGATATTGACACACGCACATGAAATTAGGTATTTTTTCAGTCAGCTCAACTGATATTGGACGGTTTTCGTGGAACTTGGTTCTAGAAATATGTCTCTCCGGAAACTCATGTTGAAACAGGTCATACGCCTGAATCACAGTGAGTAGCATATATCGGTTGGAAACTGGAAGCTGATCTGCTCCAGCTAATATTGTTGCTTTTCTACAAGCAGATTGCGGAATTATAAGGCTCTTTTGGCCAACTTTTTTTATGTGGATAAACAAACTGACAAACCTTTTCTGTTACTCTGAATATTTATTATATAAGTATGTGAGTCAAAGTAGGTTGTGCTATTGTAATTATTTGTGATAAGGGTTTTTCCTCACTTACACTCAACGAGTCACACAGTATAGAACGATCTGGAAAATTTACAATCAATTCGAAACTTTCCAAACTCTGAACTGAAAAAAACCTGAGGTTAGCAATGATGTTCTTACCTTGGAAAGTGTTAAGTGTTTCTGAACTTCTTACAATCTTCCAGATCATGCCACAGCGACGAAGCGCTCGCATAAGGGATCAGCGTGCTGATGATACTCGCACCCGTACCGCTGCACAGCGTCCTTCTACCCGTCGTGCTACCCGTGCTGCGCGCTCTGCCCGTGCTGCTGCACAGCGTGCTGCCCCTGAAGTTCTACAAATACTTCGAAGAGAGACTGCATTCAATACTGACGTGCAAAATATCGCCACAGTTTCACAGACTCTACCCCAGGGCAGGCGAAGTAGTAGGACACAGAACGGGGCACAGGGTCAGGAGCAACAGCCCCTATCCAGGTCTAGTTTTCCTGCCAGCGGAATCCGTCTTAGCCGCGAAATGACCGAAATGATGCTCAATCCAGCGGACGGTTGCCAGGTGGAGTTCGTTGGGGACAATACTCACCACTGGTTGGCCACCATTCTTGGCCCTTCTGACACGCCCTATGAGGGAGGACACTTTCACTTGGACTTATTATTCCCAGAGAACTACCCGCTTGCCCCGCCTGATGTAAAATTTCTAACTCCAATTTACCACTGCAACGTCTGTGGTGACGGCTATCTATGCCTGGATATACTATCGGATAATTGGACGCCGGTCCTCACAGTGGAAAAAGTGCTCCTATCGATCAGGTCGCTGCTAGCCGATCCCAACCCTGACGACCCCTTAGCTATATCCGTGGCCAACATGTACAAGGCGGACCGAGCGCAACACGACCAAATCGCCAGGGAGTGGACCACACGTTACGCCACTCCCGAGGCATTTTAAATTTCGCAAGTTTGATTAATATATAGGTTACATAGTATTTCGTAATTAAGATTATACGGTTCGCATTAACGGCTCCAACACAAAACGTGACTCTCTTTATTCGACGATCTACCGAAAGAGCGTGTTATCGAGAGTGCAGCGCTGCGTCTTTGGCTTATGTCCCTCACCTATCAGTGTACATACTTTGCCATCAGCTGGGCTCTGCTATTCCCTCATATACCCCATTCCCACATGTACATATGTATGCTGTAATATCTATTCTCTTCTGGGGGTAGTTTTGGGCATACTATTCCCGATAATGGTTGTAAAATATACAAAACGAGAATATAATTATTCTATACTATAAATTTGTAGGAAAAAATCTGTGTGTAAGCGGCTATCTCCGCAACGCGTGCACCAAATTGCATGCTGTTTTTTTTAAATGATAGCCAGAGAATGTCGCATGGTTTACACAAACTTGTACTTTTCTATAAATAGGTTCCTCAAAAATTAAAAATTTATCAAAAAAATCTTAATTTTGGTACAAAAGTGTGTGTTTGAACGCCTATTTTGTTCCATTTTGTGCCATTCCGTAGAACAGAACATTTTATGATAGATTTTGTTTTTATCATTGCTTAATTTCGATGAATTCCTAAGCATTAAATGCATTTAGTAAGCAGTGAAGCGCGCAGGTCTGCTAGTATATTATAATTTATGTAGAATGTTAAAAAATTATACATTTTACATTTGTTTGCTACATCTGTCATCTTCATCTAACATGTATATTCTACTTATAAAATGAAGATTACACATCTACATTTACTCCTCGTGCAACATCTTTGTATTGTATAGCCTTTGATAGCACGCAGCCTTCGGGCTGCACTACTGACTAAAAAGGAGGGACTTTGTGGCTCCTCGCGGGCTTACGTCTCGTTGCCCGAATGTTCGTACCGCTCCATGCGGGCTTTTTTTGAGTGGTGTACCTAATAGAACTAATCCACTGCATTTTCCGGGCCCCAATTCATATTCACTCACAAATAAGCTTGAACTCTGAACAAAACTTCGGAATGCGTTTGGATCAGTTCTTCGACTAGATCCCTGACAACCTTCTTCATGGTGGCGCCGCACAGCTCCAAAGTGTAGTTTTTACAGAATTCAAAACTGAATAGGTTTTAATTGAATTAAATTTTCTTTTTATCAACACCTTCATCGTACTCAACTCCCGCTTGCAAGCAATGCGAAAGTGTTTTCGTCCAATCCGCCTTGAAGACTGTGATTTAATTAATTTAGAATTATATCATTATGATTATATTTATTCATGATTAATTCTGACTCATGGCGATAATCCCATAGGACGGGAAATCGCGTTTCGGCTTTCGCTAGGCGTACCAGTGTGCACGGCACACATCAGCAACTACTGCATTAAAAAATTTGTTATCGGCATTATAAATTACCTTCTGCACCACCTCTTTTGCTGTACTGTGGATTTCCACTCGACCAAGCACATAACAGGCGATTGTTGGTACCTGCAGTACTTCTCATTTTTGCGGGAATATACCCATTTTAAAAACAATCTACTAAACTACATATGTATATAGGGACAATTTTGTGAGGTACTTATACCACGGCTGCCATTTCAAAATATATAATTATAGGGAAATAATATCGAATTCTAAGGAAAAGATATTGCCGACCAATCCGCAACGAATTGAAGAAAACCCAGGTGGAGCAAATAGAAAGATATAAATAGCCAGATTTTTTGTTATTCGTCCGATCGTCTTGGAATCCTTCGGAACGACAATGACGCTCGAAGCTGCGGATATGGTGACATCGCTGGCGGTCTTGCTGAAAGGCTTGTTGAATGCATCTCGAGCTCCACGCTTCATCCTGCATCTATGTACATATATACGCCTGCCAGACATCGGGATCAGGTAGTATCAAGGCTGAAAACCTCTTCAGGCTCCACGACTTCGTGTTGCACTTCTGGCATCAGGATATTGCACTTGCGTGGCATCGCAATCAAGTCGCAATTCAATAAAACTAACAAACTAAAGAAGCCATGTTGCAACAAAAAGGTGACATTCCTTGATTTTGATATTCGGTTTAATATTACCAGCTAGTTAGCCCTCTCAGCCCTAAACAACATAATTTTATTAAATTCATCAATAAATTGTTTACAAACTTACAAACTTCACTTACACACTTGCTACATGTGAACTACATAGCTATGTTAAATACTGAAAGGTTGCGAAAACATGTTGCCAAAGTAATTTTTGTAATTTCATGTAAAATGGAAATTACCACGGTCTTGGGAATGCTATAAATGTTTACAGAAAGGGACAGACATTTTATATTTTATAACATTTTATAGCGAAGAAAGTAAATGTTAAAACTTTCTTTTACAATGTTAGTTTTAACTTAACATTAAATTATTGATGTTAAGCAATAAAATTACGAATATAAAAAGAGAAAATCGAGAAAAAAACCAACGTAATAAACAACTATTCCCTGTAAGTATATATTTAAGCCACAAACAAAATGGTGATATAGTGGTTGAAAATCTCTTGAGAATCCACTGAAAGTATTCGTAAGTTAGGGTCGATTGAAGGAGGAGAGACCTCGTAAGTTGACACCTAAAATTACGTTTGTAAGTACATATCTTAACAGTAGATTGGAATACATTTAAGCTAGAAAGAAGTAAGTTTCAAACGAGACATAAGTAAGTATTTAACGCCCCGAATCTCTATAAATTGCCATTTGTTTGGTAATCCTGCCTCATTGATAAGTACGTTGATAACGGCAAGTTGAGCGGTACTTAGGTATGGAATTTTGTAATAATTATGGAATAAAAGAAAAATCTGATTGGAATTATGTATAAATTTCTTATTGGCGGGGAGAATGGCTACTCGTCGCCTGCTGTTGCTGCTGCAAATAGTATACAAATTCATCTATTTGAGAAATTTGAAAAGAGCTGAAAAGATTGAATGAATGTTCTTTGTGGTCATCAGTATGCTCTGACGGTTAAATTTCCACGCCCCGACACAAGGAAGATGTAGTGTGACTCCGGCAGATCATTTTAATCAATCATTGCTCATTAAAATGCAATAAGCAAACAATAAATAAAGATTTTGCTTGTTTTGTTCTGCGGACATTTTATCTTTTATCAGCTGATTTGATTTTCATCTGAGATGACATGGGTAAAAAACATTATTGAGACGACAAATGTATATCGACAAAACAACATAACGATATTGATATTTTTGCGCCAATCTGGTATATTTCTAAAAGGCTTTTGGGTATTGTGGGCCTAACCCGGCGCTGGTTACACCAGCGATTTAGTTGTATGTGTGTGTGTGTATTGTATGCGTGTGATGTAAGGTCATTCGCGTGAAAATATCAGCGAGGAAAAAATCGAATTTTTGTGTTTTGTGTGCTAGGTAATTTCCAAAAAATGTGCAAAATTAAGTGGTTTAATCAAATGCCAGTGCATCAGCGGTGGATGTGTGTATATTAACAAGCGGTGAACATGTGAAAAATTGTCAAGAAATCGAAGGTGCTTGGTTGCCCAACGCAAAAATGACGAAAAGCACCACAGTACTCTCGCACACACACATCTACGTACTTGTACGCATACTCTTGTATGGCAAGAGGGAGCTTGGAGAGCTAGAACCGAACCTAGAGTTGTCAACGCTGTGCGAAGAATTTCGTCATTGAGAAGAAGAGTGTGTGTGTTCATGTGTGTTTTGTGCGTGCCTCGTTCGAGTATGTGTGTGCGTGATTGCGTGCGTGTGTGTGTGCTGGTAGTTTGTTCTCTTTGGTAGTAAAACACAAAAGAAAAATCATCTCGACGGAAAAATGTGAAAAAATGTACATAATTCCGTACCTCAAGTATGCAGCCAGTGCCCGCCCCCCTGCCAGTCCCCACCCCAAATCAAATTGAGATGAAACACCGCGCCACCGATTGAAAAACTATTACATAAATAGTGCAAAGTGTAAATGTTATTGAAGGCAAAAAAAAAGCGCCGCCGCGCACGCTGTCGTCATCGCCTGGTAAAAAAGAGAAATAAAGAAAGAGAAGAAGAATGGAGAAGAGGAGGAAAAGCGGCCCCCGCTAAGTACCGCTAGCCAGCCAGGCAGCGAGCGGGCGAAAGAAAACGCGTTACTTATTTTCGCGAAAATACAAATTGCTTGTGCTTCCCAGTATGCATATGTACATAAATATATGTATAAGTGATGTATGATGTACAAATCGATGAATTGTTGACCATTAAATTTGGAAAATAAACTAATAATATTTGCCATGCTTGTGTGGCGGAGTGGTTGATGGGGCATGGGGCAGTGGGTGGAGTGAAAAGGAGCGGTGGAATAGTGCGGGTGGGTGCGCCTGTGTGAGTGACCTCGCGTACATGTGTCGCGTGCCTGCGATGGTGTTGGTGTGTGTGAGTGTGCGGTGGCAAGGAGTGTCATGCGTATATTTTGCTGCCCCCCATTTCTTCCACTTCCCCCCTGCTGACCCACTGCTAAAGCCTATCAACAACCACAGAGCAGCGGCAGAGGCAGTGCTCCTTTTGCTCCAGCGAGTTTTATCTTGTTTTCCACATTTTAATCATATGCGGGCGCAGAGGAGAGACAACGACAATCACGTCATCCAGCCTGCGCCATGACACACCAACATCAACATCAATACAGTGAATAATGACAGCTAGATAGAGGCTTTGAACAGGTTTTGTTTACTATAAACCATTGAGAAATGATATTTTCTATCCCCGTTGTACGGAAAATTACATTGCATACCTTTGGGTTTCAGCAAATATTTCAAAATCAAGATTATCATGGTTCAAGAGAGCCTGGTTTTACTGTACTTAACATCAATGACCAAACACACACATACACTTGTGCACTATAAAGTCATTTGAATGAACTTTTATTGGCCCAGTGCCGCAGCGGCAGGGAGCCTGGGGCAATTGAAATGGGTTGGGATTGGGATGGCCTCCCTCCCCTGCTCCGGGGATGCGTAAATTTGATTGCTGTTTCGAACACCATACGAGCTACATATACTAAGCCTTTTAATTAAACCAATTAAATAAGTTTAATTCATTTAAATTCTCACTTATTAATATTTGTTCAGGCTCCAGATCCGAGTGACTCCTCTCTCCCACGTTCTATCTGTCAGCCCAGGCAGAGCATCGTCGGCAGCAAACACTCTTTCTGTGTGTTAGTGGGTTGTGAGTGTCAGAAAGAGAGCAAATAAACTGAGTCATGGCTGACGATGACGTTATGCTGCTTAGCTGCGGTTAAAAGCAATTTGTCTCCAAAGTGTTTATGCTCCAAGTTTGCCAATAAAGAACGGCGAAAAGAAAAGAAACTTTCCTAGAAATGTGTTCAACACAAGCCCACTTCCATTCGATTGACCTCGAAGCAGCTGGAAAGCAAATCGATAGTATTGTTCGATCGATAACATGTAATGCCGCCGAATCCTCTCCGCTCTCTCACTCTCTCTTCAGCATTACGGAAAACAGCTGATGGGCTGCCGCAAAATTTTATATGTTTCTCGCAAAATTTGTAAAAATAAATATTTATAGTTGACGACGGCTTTGTGTGTATTCTGGCTGTTCGCCTTTTGTTCCGCTAGCGATACTGAATTAGCTAAGTTCCCTGCTCAACAAGAAAACTTGTATAAACCAAACAGAACTGCTTGAAACTGCTTACACGTCGAAGCACTGGTCAGTTTTTGGACGGCGACGTGGATCCGTCGCGGACATAATTAGTATTTGTATAAAGTACTGCATTGAGGCGTGCTTTATCTTAACGTGATATGATTCTTGTCACTGCCTTCTGCTGCTGCCCAGCACGTCGTCTCGGGACAAACAAAAAGTGGTTCGGACGAGGCTCTATCTGTTTCTGATTGTTTGTCCACCCGCCTCTGCTGTAGTTTTCAGCCGCAATACGAAACTTTAGGCTAGAGATAACTGTGATCCAAGCTGAGCTGCCGTTATCAGTATCCCGCAGGCGTCATGTCATGCGGCGGAACAGCAAAATCTAACTGGAATGTTTAACGAATGATCTATCCATTGAATTGCTTGTATCATGTTTACTGAAATCTTCTACTGATAAAGTGGATAGAGTACTTTCCAAGTGGTAGTGCTTTTTGGATAAATATTTTGCTCCTCAGATTGATCGACTATTTCATAAGCATAGCACTGAAAAACCACATCATATAATTGTGTATCACCTTTGTAATGCAGGAGAACAGCAAGGAATTACTGATATTTGACTGGGTTTCGCCATTTTGTGTAACAATCCCTAATCGGGGCTGGTCAAGATAACAGGCCGCCCCAACTATTAAGATAAGGCTCTCAAGTACAATCCACTTACTCACTCACCAGAACACACACTCGCACACACACAGAGCAATCGCTGTCGCAGCGGCCGCGTTTGGTCAGAAGCAGCAGCGCTGCGAGGAGGCTACTCTCTCACGCCTGGTCATGTGCGGCATTCATTCCGTTGCTCCAATCCGTTGCGTTCGCTCGCTCGTTCCGTTCCGTTCGTTCGTTCGTTCATCTCTGCTTCCACCGTGTGTCCGTTTTGCCGCGCTGCCTGGCCATAGTTTTGGGCCCTTTTAGTAGTGTAACTGTTTTGAATAGTATGTTGCGGTTTTTTGATTAAGTACCAATCGACAATAAAATAAAAAATAAAGAAATCGTCCTTAAAACCACTAAAAGAGATTGAAGATAAATACAGCAAGAAACTAAGGATTTCCCTCTGAATAAAAAAATAAAAGCATAAATATTCACAGTAAAAAAATCAAAAAAACGTTTCTACTGCTAAACAGAACAAAATTAAATTAAATTTAAAAAAAAAAATGTTCTTCTAAATACAAAAAAGACTTGCACTTAAATAAAAAAAAATAGACAATCTTCCTACCTAAAAAAAGCCCCCCTACCAATCACTATAAATACAACAACAAAAATATATAGAAAACCAGACATTTTCTCTAAATACCAAAGATTGCTTCTAAATACAAAAAAAAGTGTTTCTAAAAAAAACTACAAATTGTTGCGCTCCTTGAGTAAAAATCATAATTATTTGCTCTTTTTGTGTGTTACGTTTTCTCTCTTTCTTTCTCCTCTCTCTTGCTCTCTCCCACTCTGGCCTGTTACGTTTTTGTGTCTAGCCAGAAAATAGTATTTTCGTCGTCAACGTGCCATAATTTGGTTTTTCGGTTTTTGGCTGCAAAAAAAAAAACAAAACAAAAAATCAAACCGAAAAAAAAATCATTTGAGAATTCTTGGACTTGAGACAGAATATTCGTTCGGGTATACCTCGTTTTCGTACGTACATATGTGTAGAGGTGTGTGTGTATTCGTGTGTGCGTGTCTGGGTGTGAGCTTTTCGTGGCCTGTGCGTGGAAATGGTTAATAAAGCTGAGAAGAAAAGTTAACATCAAATTAGCAAGCTGCAACCCCTCTTCCACCCGTCGCCGCCCACCACCATCCAAGTGTGTGGCCAAGCACGTGTGCAGCACGACGTTGACGAAAGACATGCTAAATGCGGGAGGGGGTGGCGTTGGGTGGAAAAAATATAGAAATTGAAAAAAACACAAAAACGCAAATATTATAAAATTATATTTAGTTGAATGTTAAATGTTGTTCGTGCGGCTTTCGGTTTTTGGCTTTTCTGATACCCCGTTACTCGCAAAGGAAATAAAAATGTTATTTTGTGGAAAGCAAAAAGAATTATATATAGTCCTGTAAATTAAGGAAATCCTTTGATTCTCAAAAATCTCCCAATTATATAAACTTATTTCATACCGATCAGACCTATTTTAGCCAGACTTATGAAGAATTATTAATGACATACATATGTATAATATCTTTTCCTGCATAGTTCGATAATTTCCTTAGAGTAGCGGGGCTATCCCATAGTCGGGTGTTTCTTTTTTGTTCGCTTTTCGGTTCTTGTCTCCTCCTTTGGCGCTGTGCCTGTCTTTAGCCGACTTGGCTGTCGTCGCATCCTTGAATTGCGTTTATATCTGATTGCGCCGCCCCACGCATTCCCTCCCTCTCTGTGCGCTTTGCGTGCTTTCATTTCTCTTCTACTTTCCTTTATTTATGTGAAAATTTATGTACTTTGAAAAAGTTTTCCCTTCTCTTTCGCTCACTAATTTTTGTGTTTTTTTCTTTTTTTTTCGCAAAAGCATAAAATTAAAACCGAACCAAACACACGCAACAAAAAGAAAGAAAAATACAAAAAATACAAAAATGTGTTTTTATTTTATTTTGCGAAAATACATAGGCTAAAAAAGTAAGAACAAATTCAAATTAAAAGAGCTGGAAGGAATAGCTGATTAAATATTAAAATAGGAAACAAATTTCGAATTGAAAAAACAAAACACAAAAAGGAGACAAAAAACCAACAAACAACAACAACAAACAGCAACATCAATCGCATCAACTAAGTATCAATCTAAAAATAATCGTATAAATATAAACAACTAATTCATAAATTAATATTTACCATAATGATTTAGTAAGTTAAGATTAAAGTACAAAAAAAAAACACAACACCCACATCTACAAATGAATTAATTAATTAAAAAAGAAAATAAGAAGTAATTTCACAAAAAATTATAATCAATGCAATTGACAAAGAAATAACGAATAATAAAATCCACAACAACAACACCCACACCGAAAACTACAACAGCAGTAGCAGCAGCAATTACAACAACAACTTTAACAAACACCAAGAAAATTCAACAACAAACAACAACCAAAACGGATCAATACCAAAGATGGAGGCAAAATTCTTGGCTAGCGCTCTTTCATTCCTCTCGATATTTTTAGCGATTTATGCTCAATCACTTGGTAAGTACTATAACAACAACAATGGAAAAAAAGCATACATACCCTTCTCCCACCTTTTTAACCTATATGTAAGTTGTCCTCCATAAGGCCCCCTACCTTCAGAAAACCCCTTAAAAGAAAAACATGGAAAATGCAGCTGTAATACCCCCAAGAAATTGAAAAACACAACACACAAGAGAACCCAAAACAAAACACAATAAGAAGAAAAATAGAAAACCAAAAAGAGAAATAAATACAAACAGATTGTATGCGGTTATACCATATACATATACATATATAAGACACCCCCAACCAGGCCCTGCCCTAACACCCTATCCGCCCTCTAATTGAGGGAGAGCTTGCCCTCTGCTCCAGCCCCTTTTTCCCACCTAACCTAACACTCTATACCAACAATAACAGAAAACGTACATTATCGAAATTAGAGATGGCCCGGCGATAGTTGCGTGACACGAATCGATTTTTAATCGAATGAATTTCTATAAATGTGGATTATATAATTATTTGCGAAGAGCGTTTTTCTTTTTATTTATTGTTAAGTAACTTTAAAAAAAACCAGAAAAAATAAACATCTTGAGAGTTGAATTCAAGAGAAGAGAGAGCTTGGGTCGACTCAACCGAAGTACATTTTAATCGATGATACATCTCTGGGTACACCTCTAAGTAGAACCCACTCCATAAAAATGTTGATTCATGTCTACCAGGGGCGAATTTTGGAGAATGGCAGGCGGGGCTACCAAACAATAGAACAATTAATTTCAATAAATTGTAATTGACTTAAACTATTTATAACATTCTTTATTTTAATAATTTTATTCGTTACCACTAAATTGGGGAAAGAGTTAACGGAAAAAATGCCACCTATTATTCGGAAAATAATTAGGGTCCTACGTTTCTTCGTCGTCCTTAGCGTCCGTAGGGCCTTCAAAGCACCAAATCCGGCCCTGATGTTAACGGTTTGATGATGGGTCTAAAAAGTCATTGAACCGTATTGATTAAGTTGAGCAGCACCTCGCTCTGTCGGTGATATCAATTAAATAAAAATAATAGCGCTTAAAATAAGTTAATAAATCGATTTTTTTTAGGAAATGGAAATTGATTGTTAAAAAGAAATTGCAACAGTGTGTTTTAAAGACACGGACACACCTCTAGAAGAGAACTAGAGGTACATAGTGGAAGTATACTCGTACAATTTTCCTTCAGCTTGGCTTTATGTTTTTCTCATTTTATATTGCAAGCTCTCCCCCCTCTCTTCCCGACTTCGACGACTGCTGTCCGAGGTCTCTTCTACCAATCTCTACATTTTTTTTGGACCTTTGTCAAGCAAACAAACGGGGGACTGGTTGGTGTTTCTTCGATATATTTTCGCTGTTGCCTTTTATAGTTTATATTGTTGGACTTGCAAGCATTCCTCCACATAGTATAGTTTTTCCTTTTTTCTCATTCTCTCTCTTGCCCTTGTTCATTTGATTTTCAATTTTCCACACAATTGCCAAAGGAAAATGAAAGAAAAAAGAAAGAACAGAAGAGCAGCAGCAGAAGAGACTAGTCTGAGCAGAAGAAGAAGAACCCAGTATCAAGTTCATTCTGTTTAAAATTTTTGTTTAGCTTTCAAGCAATTTTACATGCGGTCCAATAATGGCTTTTTGCCCCCGGCCGATTTGTTTATATTAACTTCTCTATCCCGAACCTATCGGAACCGAAACGAAACGATTTACCCCGCTGATACGAACCGTTGGACGAGACTGCATTTTGTTTACATTAATTTTTGGAATGGATCTCCCTCTACGTCGTACCTCGCTCGGGGTCTATTCTATAATGCCATTGGGGCTCTATTCCATCCATCTATTTATTATTCTATGCATACTATCCATTTACCTTAGCCATGCTATTTTATTCCATCTACATACATATATCTATATCTATACGTACTGTTCATTCCGTCTGTCTTTCTGACCAAAAAATTTACGTATGTTCATGAATTTTGATTTTCTTCATGTTTATTCCTTTTTTCGTGTACATTATTTAGCATGCCCCATGCCCCCGTATGCAGCTATTTTCACATTCAAGGTGTATTAATTGAGTTTTGTTGTTGTTGTTTTTCTTTCTATCATATTCATGATTTTATTCACATTTGATTGGGGGTATTCGAGCTACATATCTGTATGTATGTATGTATGTATGAGGGGACAGACAGGTTCTTCCATATAAGAAACGGAAGGAATAAATAATTATGTAAGGTTTTATGCATATGTACAATATTTATCTTTATTTGGATTTTCCTGATGGAGATTCATTGAATCAATCAATCATTCATTTAATTTTCCAATGCAGCAGTTGGTTGGGATCAATGGATGTGGTACTACTGAAAACACATCGATGGTTTCGAGATTAATGTACCAAGACTTTTACTTTCCTTAAATAGTTTTCATACACTTATTGATTTATCAGAGATTAAATTCGTAGTTTAAACAATTAGAGAAATAAATTTCAGGAATGAAAAAAAATACAAATCTATGTATGTATCTATTATGTAATAATCGTAATAAATAAAAAATAATATACATACATACATAAATAACAAATAAAGGTAACCATAAATAAAATAAATTATAAAGAAATCAAATATTAAATAAATGAAAAAAAAAACTTGAAATAAACTTACAACAAAATTTTAATTAGAAAAACCTGTGCTTAAAAAAAATACCTGAACTTAAAAAACATGAAAATTTGTTTTTTTTTGCACCATTTTCTTTAATGATTTCTAAAATTGTTTGCGTAAATATACAATAAACAATAGGCTGGAAATAAAAGAGCTATCCAATGGAATACATTAAAGAAATCATAGACCAGAAAAAGCTCATCCTCCAAGGGAATATCGAGGAAGAAAGACAGACAGATGTACATACGAGTGTAGGAGGGTACATTCATATGTTTGCACCATATGAATCACTTTTGAAATGTTTGGGTTCGTTTCGGTGGTGGTAAAGCCAATATAAAGCACAGGCAAAATGCTACTTCAAAGCCAATTTTTCTGAAAGAACTGAGAGAAAACCACGTGTTGTCCAGGTGTTTATGTTGCCGAAAGCGAAATGGTGCGAGGTGTCTTGTCACGTATGGGTTTTGCTTGGAGTGTTCTGTGCTACTCACTCAGCTGGTGAAATTTCTCGACTGGCAAGTGTTTTTACCACCGGAACTCAAAGAGTATAGTCGGGTGTATTAAATTTTTGTAGTAGCAGGCAGAGATTGTTTCAGGAAATGAAACAAAAGAAATCTTTTGATATATGTATGTATGTACATACATAGTCATGGATATTATCACAAAATATATATGATATAAATATAAAATAAAATAAATTATATAGAAAGTACAATTTTATTTAAATAATATAATTAAATAAATAATAAAAATAAATCAAATAATATAGTATATTAATTCATATTATGTCTGCTTGATAGCAGAACCTCTTTGAAATCGGATCATTAATATATCCAGAACACAACCTGTCGGTTGGCTATTCGAACACCTGGCTTTTCATTATAATTAAGGCTGGAGCAATGCAGATAATTTTTCGATATGCGTATAGATATACAAAATAATGCGTACCAGGTATCATAGTGTCGCTATACGTTTGCCGCAACTCCAAGCGTCACGACTGGTTTTTTTTTTTTTCATTTCGTTTTTTCTTCCCTTATTTGCTGCTGTGTGAATGTGTGGTGTGTACATTCGGCTAACCAGTTTCATTTTGGCATGTTTATTTAATGACATTTTCATTACATTAATAAATGTCAAATATTTAAATTTTGGCTCACCCAAAAGAGAGCCAAAAAGAGGACAGGACGCGCAGCCAACGCAAACAAAAGGCAAAGTAAAATAAAGCGTAACCTGTGCCGTCGTCACAGTGTGGGACAAAGGCAGTTGAAACACCTGATAAAGGGAAATCTCTTTAGGGTTCAATTTCTAGTAGTAGTTTCTTGTACATATGTATGTATGTACATCACGAAACTTGAACCTGGGAGTCTCAGAATTGAAGTTAAAGATAATCCTATAGTATCATCGATGAGTTTTTTTCCCTCTGTGTAATTTGTGGGATATATGCCGTGCGGACATCTCATAAATAATCTAGTTTTACACTCAGAGAAAAAATATCTGAAATTTTTTTTTTTGCACTTCGATTTCAAAATGTATACCAATAGAAATGTTTTCATTTAATTTTAACATTAATTATGAAAATTTGGAAATTTTTTATAAATATATAACAAAGCAAACTATTGAATTAAATAGTGATTCCAGAAAAAAGAACAGGTATTTCAAGTTGTATCATTGAAGATAATGTTAAATATAATAAGCAATAATTTAAAGGGAAATTTCGATGGATAAGGCAGAGTAGAAGCTATAACAATTATGACATAAGAGTCTATAAGGATCATATCTGGCAAGCTAGCTCTGTTGATATTTATAGACATAGATTTGTATAGTCCTTGATCTCATTACTATATTACAGAGTAGAGAAACCTTCCCATAAGTTATTCTCCTGTGGCAGAAAAACAATTATAAATAATTCCATTCTGTTTACTAAAAAAAAAACTTATGACAGACATTTGTCTAGGCATACAATAAATCACCTCACCCGCACACCCACTAACTCCCTTCTCCACAACTACAACTCAAGAGGATTACGTTTTAACCCCTTGAACTGTGTGCTGCTAAACCATAATTCAAAGCTGTTTTTGTTTGGAGAGATCAGAGATTTTCCGATGGTTTGTTGTTGCATTTGGCTACAAAAATACATACATATTGCATAGAAACACAGAGATTTTTCTCCTCAGATTGTCTTGGGATATCTATCTGCATTTTGCATTGAATCTGAGAGATGATTTGTGTGGTGCAATGTGTGGGGATGGGGATGGATGGTGTGTGTTTTGCGGTGTCTTCTCTGTTCCCGCCTCTGTCTTTTTGAGAGAAACATTATTTTTATTAAGACAATAAACATGAAATGTAA